CCGTTCTCCAGGGGTTAAGAGGATATAAGAAAGATAAAGACCCATAGAATAAAGCCTACCTACTTATTGTGTCATATAAAGCACCTAAATAATACCAAACGAAAACAAAATGAAATGTTAATATGTTAGCTACAATCATATAAAATTAACCACTCCCTTTTTTATGTATTTTACGTATTTTTAAGCTATGATTTGTAATCTAATATACTATAAATAAATAAAATATAAAATAGCCGTATTCACATGCACATCATTAAATAATTTTGTACAAAATAATGACTTTGTTTTATTTAATTCTCATTTAACCCTACACTGCATTCAGTCCCTTATGTGGGACAACCAATATAATTGATGTTTTTTCTGATTTGAGCCAAGTAGCGGCATCTATTATTACGTAAAGAAAGTGACAACAACCAATGGCATCCATTTATTGCATTCGTTGAAATTAGATGGCAGCACAATCTCGCTCAGTCAGTCATTCATTTGAAAATTTTGAACGTCAGCCACGCGCCGTGCGTTGTCATTTTGAAATTTTAATAAAAAATAGTTGTTTATGGAATGCAACTGTGGAAAAATTGTTTTTATGTTGAAATATCAGTGAACTAAACAAATGTAAGTATTATTTTTTGATTTGGCCGTGTTTCTATACACAATTTTTATAATTACTGGTTGTTCCCGATGTGTCACTTCATGCAGTGATGATCCAATTTTAGACATGTATACTAATGCTATGATGTTGATTTTTTTTACATAGTGGCAAAGAAAACCTCATCCAGCGCTCAAATCCAAAATTATTAGACAATACCATTAGGCAATGAAGTTAAACAAGACTTCTCAGTCCGAAAGTGATGATGACATTGCCCCAATTAGATCTACCCTCAACAAACTTTGAACAATAGGTACGGCTGACGAAGAGCAATTTGTTTCACCGAACAGGTATGAATCCGCTGCACCATTATCAGGGTCCTATGGTGGTGATGCACAGCATAATATACCAAATCCTAGTGGTACAATCCTGCTGTTCCCTACATCCAGATTCGTGAAGCAGTTGGCTTCACGAACACGTCAATCAACAGTTGTATCTTCCGTCTCTGCTGCACCAAAAGATGCTGCTCCTACACCTGCTGTTTCCGTCGCCAGAATAAAGCAAAATATGATCTGGAAAAAAAACTTACCATCCAACAAATCTTGAGTTTTGTGGGCAAACTGATCTGGAGCCAGAAGTTGAAACTCCTTTGCAATATTTATTGTAATTATTTGCCATTGATAATAAATACCATGTTAGTAGGTAAACCAGTTTGAAAAAATCCTCAATATCTTCACTTCAATGACAATACCACTCAGCCACCAGCAGGTACTGCAGGATACGATCGTCACCATAACTCAGAAATCTATTAGAAACCCTAAAAAAATGTCAAGCTATACCCAAACGAGAAGCATTGTCAGTGGATGAGCAGATGTGCGCTACTAAGGCCTCTAACATGCTGCGCCAATATCTTCCTAATAAGCCTCATAAATGAGGGTAATCCTTGATAATTACTACACTTGCCCTGTATTGATTACGCTTTAATTTAGGTAGGTCATTGCATACAGTGCCACATATGGAACAAATTAAAAAAATCATTTATTTCTATTACTATTAGTTTTTTTTAATTTTACCTGTACTTCCCGTGTTCTAGACCATAAATATGATCTGATAAGATTTTTTTTTCTAAAAACAAAAAAATCATGCAGTGTAGGGTTAAGTATGTCACATCTAAAATTAGAATCCACTTTAAAAAATTAAAATTTGATTCGATAACACTCTCTCTCGGGACAAACTTGACCTTCACTGGTTGAGTTTTTATTGGCGGTCAAGCTGTAGATCCTGGCCACACAGGAGTTGCAGCGGTGGGAACGAGAGGTGGGAATAGTCAATTATCAATGCTTTTATAATCCTGCAGAGGTTGCATTGATGGTAACGATAGGTGTGATGTGAACCAGTTTTAGTGATAAACATTTTCATTATCATCATCATCATCATTTCAGCCACAGGACGTCCACTGCTGAACATAGGCCTCCTCCAATGACATCCACTTCGCACGGTTGGTAGCGGCCTGCGTCCAGCGCCTTCCTGCTACCTTTATCAGGTCATCGGCCCACCTTATGGGTGGACGTCCTGACGTAAACATGTTTATAATTTTCAAAATACATCCGTTTAATCAATCAAATAAACGGCTCGAAAGTTGTCTAACAAAATGTTAAGTCCTGATTAGCAACATTTAATTTTATTGATAACACTATCAAATGTTTACAAAAAACGTTTGCAAAATTACAGTTATCTATGCATGCTATCTTTGTTTACCTCCTGGTTCGACACGCAATGCGTACTAATTAATTTTACATCAATGTAAATACATTGAATTGAATTGAATTGAAAAAATTTATTGTCAGACCGGGGTCCATAATAGTGTTAGTAACAATTTTCACTTAGCCTATGTTAGTAAGATACAAATAATGAAATATGAAGCCGCTTACATAGCACTGGAGACGTGCAAGCTAAGCCAGCGCCCCAGCAGCGGCGAGTCCCACCTGTCAGCCAATGCCCTCAGGATGCCATTTGTACTGCCGCGGAGACGCTCTAGGAGCGATGCGCTCCGCTTCCGAATTATCGCGTGGAAGCCGTCGGTGTGCGCTTCCGCAAACATGGTTGACGCGCTGCAGAACCGCGGCAGGCCAAGTAGCACCCTGAACGCATTGTTGTACTGCACACGCAGTGCGCTGTAAGCGCGCTGGGTAAAGCTGACCCATAGGCTGCACGTGTAAAGAGACTGGCAGTAAGCNAATTTATTTTAACACGTAATTAAATAATGTAACTGTAATTTTTTTCGTTTTTAACACGCTCATATTAGGTCGTCGTGTATGTAACTAACTATGTAATGGAATCTTAGAATCTGAATTACACGCACTTCTAAGTCTTGTATCATCATGAAACTTGGCAATTATATGTAGATTAGAAATGACAATACAATATTGTGGTACCAGCTGGTCTGATGATGGGACTGGAAGGTGGCCAAAAGAACTCCTAAACGAAACGGCGGAAACTCATCGAGTTTGGGTTCATTGGATTTGTCTTTTCGAGCACTTTAATGCTAAATGATGTCCAGGGTCCTGATGATTTTTGGCTTTTTATGTTGTTAATAATTAAAACCGTGTTTTTAGTTTTTTAAACTATTCTTATTTGACATTAGGGGCACATTTCACAATCGCTTAGTAAGGGCCTATTTCGCCACTTCTGGATAAGTTGTGGATATCTGAATATCTGTTAATGTCGAAATATTGCCAAATAAAACAAGCGATCTTTTTTCACTGATGATCTGATGACATGATGCAGTTCAGTCAGATTACGCAGCGAGTAATTTAATTTTAGCTATTCAATCAAACACTCACGATGGCAACCAAAATCACCCGAATTGATCTGCCCCCTACACAAGTGGCAAAGTCTGACATTCTATTCGGACGGATTCGATTTTCGAACTTGTCTTGTCCAGTCTACTAGACCCACTAATCGCGTTCGAAGCACCTGTGCGGCGCTAAACTCGTCACGACATGCAACAAGACAATGCGCCAACTATCCGGCCGCCGGATATCCGGCTATCCGGCCTAGCAGCTCGCCGGATATCCGGTATCCGGTATCCGGCCAAACAACTATCCGTTTCATCTCTAATAATAATATACGCTACGGTAGATTATACGGAAGATCAAGGAGTATAATCAGCCACTTTGCGTTTGTGAACTATGAGAAAGCCTTCGATTCGATTGAGACATGGGCAGTGCTTCAGTCTCTTCAAGTGTGCCAAATTGACTATTGATACATTAAAATGTTGAAAGGCTTGTACAAACACGCCACAGTAACAGTCCGTTTTAAGATCAGGACCCGAAACCTATCCAGTTTCAGCGAGGGGTGAGAACAGGGAGACGTCATCACCACCGCCCTGGAAGATGTTTTCAAGCTTCTGGGCTGGAGCGGATTCAGCATAAATATCAACGGCGAGTACATCACCCAGACAGCAGACGATATCGTAGTCATGGCTGAGATCGTGGAAGATCTAGATACAATGCTCGATGACCTCAATAGAGTCTCGCAACAAGTGGGTCTCAAAATGAACATGGACAAGATTTAAAAATCATGTCTAAAGACCGTGTTGCACCCACTCCTCTAAAAGTTGGAGACTCTACACTCGAAGTTGTTGACAATAATGTATACCTGGGACAAACAGTCCAGTTAGGTAGGTCCATCTTCGAAGAAAGGTCAATCATCGAATCCAGCTCGGCTGGGCAGCCTTCGGGAAGCTTCACGATATATTCACGCGGCTTCTTCGTCGCGTCGCCGCTCCGCTTTAAATCCACTTTGAATCCGCTTGCAATCCTCCAGGGTGGCAAGGGCCTTAAAACTCAGCGGCACACTGATGTTCAAATACCGTAGCCGAGTCCTAAAGCCGCAGCACGCGTTCGCCACGAAAAGAGTGAGCAAGACACCAATATCTCACTCACACGTTTCATGCTTTGTTTATAACGACTAGTCTTAACGCCCAGTTAATAAATCATCGAAACATTACAAATAATATCACATATAAACAACAAAATTAAAATTAAAACTAAATGTATTCTGTCGAGAACACTGAGAATATTCCCGGGAGCGTTCTCGGTTCTCGAGAATATTCTCACTGGGAATATTGCCGGGAACGAGAACTTTCTCAGCGGCACATCTCTAATCAAGACTAACATAACCTAGTTTTTTAGTTAAGTCATACTTACCAACCTATAAATAAAAATTGCGGATGTTTGTCATACGACTTTGTATGTATGTAAACATGTTTCCTCCTTGAGATATTAACTGCATCCACCCTACTTAACTGATGGAACTTTTACAACTTTTCCTCATTCAAAATCTCCCTGTGTTTCCCTTTAAAGTAACGCAAACTTAACGGCAACTTGTTTAAACTTGTTTTCATTTGAAGGTAACAGACGAGGATGTGATGTCAGCAGCCATGTATCCGCAAGTCGCGAACGATTTCTTCCGCATTCGCGACAAATACGGCCCCGTCAAGCATCTGGACACCAAGACCTTCCTTGTTGGTCCCACGGTAAGTATCTTGCTACACACATTCCTTCCTTTGAAAACAATATAGTGTCTTATTTAAGAAAAAACTAGCGACCCGCCCCGGTACATACCTATACACATTCCTCTTGAATCTATTAAAAAAACCGCATCAAAATCCGTTGCGTAGTTTAAAAGATCTAAGTGTAATGTTTCGGGACTGTATTATTATTTAAGATCCAAATATACCAACATGATGCAATAAACATTTATGACTATGACTTCATAGTCATTGTCATAAATGTTTATAGCATACATAGGGACAGACAGCGGAAAGCGACTTTGTTTTATACTATGTAGTGATACGAAAAAAATCTTAGCTGAAGGACGTCAACTACTGGACAAACGTATCCCTCAAGGGTTTCCACAAGCCCGCATCCGGGCTCTTTCCACTTGGTGACACTCAGCTAGAGTAGAAGGCCCTGTCACTTTCTATCATAGACGTCTAGTGGCTAAGATAGTGACGCACTGACGCCAGCTGTTAAGTGCTGAAGCAGTAGGTCCTATCGCATTTGCACTCACATGATGGCGCTACTGTGGAGTAAAGTCCTGTCATTGGCTAGTGGTGCCAACTGTTTAGTACAGTCGCGGAATGAAAAGGTTCGTCACCTTAGTGTCGGTTTTCGCTTGCACTAGGTACTGTAAGAGTCAAACCTGCCAACATTACAGTGCAAGAAACAGTGCTGCTAACATTTAAATAAATATGACGTTTGCTAATGAATAAGGTTTTGCTTGTTTATTTTTCTATCCCATCAGTGCAATAATGTTACAAAATTTAGTTTTTTTTATTTAATAGATAATGGCAGGTTGAACCAACAAGAAGGTTTTAGTTTATCAATCATAATAATTTTCTTGACAATTTAAATCGTCAAACAACTTTGATCTGAATAATTTTGAACTTTACTGACAAACAGTTAAAGATTATTTTCTCTAACTCGAGATTATTCTGTAACATAGTTTCAAAAGGTAATATGTGCTCGCGATTCGTCGAAGGAATCAATTTCAAAACTGACGAACTTTTTCATTCCGTGACTGTACAAAAACTAAAGTTCGGTCACGACTGTGTGACAGGCGGCCGCAGTGAGTGTGCGAGCAAGACAGCAATATAATTACACGCGAGCGACAGGGATGGGTAGCTTGGGGTCATTGGACGAAATATCTGCTCGGTGACCGGACTTTATAGGAGCAACCTCAAGAGTTTGATATGGCTGATGTCACCCAATGCAACTTTAGAGACGCATTTTAAACTCTTTTATTTCCCCCATATGCAGTACTTTCCCTGGTCAATCATAAATTTTCAACTATTTTTTCCCAGGTCGGCGAGACGATAGAAGTAAAGATCGAGCGCGGAAAGACGCTGGACATCAAAACACTGGCCGTCTCCGATGAGATGACGGCGGCTGGCGAAAGAGAGGTGTTCTTCGAACTCAATGGACAACTGCGATCTGTGTTCATTAGAGACGAGAACGCTAGCAAGGTAAGCTAAATAGATGAGACTTTATTTAGTCCAGTCATTTGGTAGTTTTACCTGGAAAGTTTCCAGGTTTCAGTTTCCACTCCTACGCCTAAACTATTGATTTCCAAAAATGTAGAATGCAGACATCAAAAATAGGAAAATTTCTCTAGTTTTAGTTTATCTAAGCATGTTTTGTCATAAAATGAATCCGAAAGGAAACATTTAAGAAAAACTGCTACTAGGCAGCATTTTTCCAATATGGCGGCGCGGGCGGCGACCATACGAGGTCGCAAAGTTGAAATTCGTAAAGAGCACATTGAAATCTATAGAAATACCAATTTTCATTACTCCCGGAAAACTTTCCAGGTAATGCCATTATTTTGTACCAAATGACTGGACTAATTGTACACCACACAAATAAAGAAAAGAAAAAAATACGCAAGAGGCCGCACGAGTTAGGCTGTCATATTGAAATTGAATTGAAAAAATTTATTGTCAGACCGGGGTCCATAATCGTGTTAGTAACAATTTTCACTTAGCCTATGTTAGTAAGATACAAATAATGAAATATGAAGCCGCTTAGGTACATAGCACTGGAGACGTGCAAGCTAAGCCAGCGCCCCAGCAGCGGCGAGTCCCACCTGTCAGCCAATGCCCTCAGGATGCCATTTGTACTGCCGCGGAGACGCTCTAGGAGCGATGCGCTCCGCTTCCGAATTATCGCGTGGAAGCCGTCGGTGTGCGCTTCCGCAAACATGGTTGACGCGCTGCAGAACCGCGGCAGGCCAAGTAGCACCCTGAACGCATTGTTGTACTGCACACGCAGTGCGCTGTAAGCGCGCTGGGTAAAGCTGACCCATAGGCTGCACGTGTAAAGAGACTGGCAGTAAGCTTTAAAAAGCGTGATTTTTACTTCATCCTTACAACGCGCAAACCTACGTGCCAACATATTACAACGCACTGACAGCGCCCTGCGCTCCCTTTCTATGTCTACATTATCCTTTAAGTCATCTGTAACCCAGTGACCAAGGTATTTAAATGAGTTAACCTGTTTCAGAGGCATACCACAAAGTGTTAAGTGCGGAACTGATGAGTATGTTTTAGTCCGCGATTTGAAGATCATGAACTCACTCTTCGACACATTATATTTGAGTCGATGTGCCATCGCATACTCCTCGCATATCTTAAGCAGTTTACGCATAGCTGCAATCGACGGGGTCAGCAGCACCATGTCATCAGCATAACTAATATTATTAATACAAACGCCGTCGATATGACACCCGACCTTGGTGCTGCTGATACTACTTACGTAATTTTTTGGCACTTCGAGGAACCACAACGTAATAATTTTTAAGCGCATGCATTCAGTTTTCTGAAGACAAATTGTAGTCCGCGAGCACGAGTACCTAAACTTATTTGTACGCTGAAACAACGCTAATCTGAAAAAGCCCTACTGTGGTCTCCTGANTGAAGAGGATTAAAGAGGAAGGTTTATTATGTAAAAAACATGCATATTATAGAAGAGAAAAGCCGAGAAATTCTATTGCAACCATGCGAAGCCGGGGCCGCTAGTAATGTAATAAACCCAAAATAAAATGCTACACAGCTGATAGTTCTGGAGTGCAAATGTAATATTTTAACAGAACTGTACTTTAATTTGGACTCCAGTGGTCTAAAATTAGTCATTGGTTTTATTATGCGCAATAAAATTGCGAATTATGAATCAAGTTCTCTGCGATTCAATTGAAAGGTCAAACTTCATACATTGTATCTTAATAACGTAGGAAGTGAGTCAGCCGTCGTGCATTTCACATCCGTCGCACATCATACATATTCAGTTCTATTAATATGTATGTATTATAAACTTAGTATGTACTTTCTTAATTTATATTCGGTAAGAGCGTAGATGCTTTACTATCTCTTAATAATAATGATGCCGGTACACGCGCAAAGCGCACTCGCATAGTTGTTCCACTAAAATAAAATTAATAAAAACTGTTTACTCTCAGTTATTTATACCCCTATCTCTATCGCGTCTGTTTTCAATAAAAATATCCAATCAAATTCGGTCCATTCTTTTAAAGTTGAACGATTTTGAAACGTCCAATGGCAAAAATAGGAACCAACAATCCTGTATTGAGAGTAGCTCCCTCCTGTCAATGTCACAGGTGGGACTTCCCTGTCTATGATCTGAGGGTGGGACAGTTCAGTGTAGGATTAGATAGTCAAACATAAGACACTTCTTTTTTGCGTCGGGGGTAGAAATGAATAAAATGTGTTTCTTCAAATTAACAGTTAATTAACGGTTGTGGCAACTCGTTGCAAATCAGTGTGTCAACCATACTGTGTTTATTGGAGGTATTCCTCGAAGCGCACCCATTTTGAGGCGCACCTAATGAAGCTCACCTACGTTTACAAATATAAAGATTTTAAACTGTATGTCTGCTAAGATGAATAAAAAGTACCAAGGCAACATAACAGGCGCGCTTCAAGGAATAGTTTTAGGTGCGCCTCAAAATGGGTGCGCTTCGAGGAGCACCTCGTTTATTGTATTTTTTTCGTGTCAAATTTTTTTTTCCTTACAAATGTGTCGTTTCCAGGTGTTCTCGGACCTGGGGCTGGACGTGATCGACAGCGCGTTCGAGGGGTACAATGCGTGCGTGTTCGCCTACGGACAGACCGGCAGCGGGAAGACCTTCACCATGATGGGTTCCCCGGTACGTATCAGCTGTGATGTGTTTCCCTTTTTAGGGTTCCGTAGTCCTGACAAGGAACCCTTATAGTTTCGATATGTCTGTCTGTCCGAGGTTTTGCTTGGAAACTATTGGCACTAGGGAGCTGTAATTTTGTGGAAGTATGTATATTAATCACGCCGACAAAATGGTAAAATAAAATTTTGAAAAACAATTTTTTTAGGACCCCCTACATGTAAAGTGGGGATGAACTTTTTTTCATCTTCTACCCCATCGTGTGGGGTATCGTTGGATAGGTCTTTTAAAATGAAATAGAAGAAAATATTAAAAGTGACTTTAGATGCAGTAATTGCTTGCTTCTGAAATATATTGTGGTAACGACGGACAACTACGGAACCCTACACTGCGCGTGGCACGATACGCACTTGGCCAATTTTTACACAATGAAGAAGCTCTTGGCCTGCATCTCAGCTGATGGAAAGTAATGATTTGACCCTAAGGTTGACTGGAGGAAAATACTGAAAGGCAAGTCCGCCTTTTGTACACTGTTCTATGTGCAAGTTTAAAAAAAATGATTAGGTCGAATCAAGCTGAAGGTTCTGGTTGAAGCGAGCTTCAAACTTTTTTTGACTTTGATATGTCATCTCCATATTATACAACCTAGCTTTCAGAGAGTGTAGCTACATCTATGTAAACGAAAATATTTTCAGCAATGATATTTTTTGTTTACACAATATTTTTATTTCAGTTCGTTTTTAGGGTTCCGTAGCCAAATTGGAAAAAAACGGAACCCTTATAGATTCGTCATTTCTGTCTGTCTGTCCGTCCGTATGTCACAGCCATTTTTTTGTTTATTGCTATTGCCCAAGACAGCCGCGATTTCGCGTACATTTCCCCAAATTCGACCAGTTATAACCCTAATGCTAGTATGGCCATACGAAGGTGGAGAGATGTTCTTGCAGTCAAGTGAATCTCAACCTTATTCCAGGAGTGCCAAGGCCTGATCCCGCGTATCTGCCGTCAACTCTTCTCCCGCGTGGCCGCCGGCAAAGAGTCGGGGGCTTCATACCGCACCGAAGTCAGCTACTTGGAAATATACAACGAGCGGGTGAAGGACTTACTGGCAACTGATGCTGGTCACTCGCTCAGGGTCAGAGAGCATCCGAAGCTAGGCCCGTATGTCCAGGATCTGTCCAAGCATTTGGTCTCGGACTACGACGATATACAGGTAAAAATATTTCAGGTAATGACTGAAAATCATGCACTGCTTTTTCTCAGGACTAGCCCATTTATTATGCCGAAGCAGTGGTAGGATTCAAGTAATAGGGATGTTTCCTGGGTATATAAGCATGAGTTATAATTAGTCCGTTAGGTAACTTATCAAAAAATACGCTATACGTATTTTTTACTTTTTGAAAACTAATGTAAATTTAAAGAGTTAAAGCGCGCCAAAGTTCAAAAGAAAAGGCCCGTGACGTCAATGAGTGCTTAAAAATGCAGCACTTTGTGACGTCGCGCGGAACTTTAAAGCACCATAACTTTGTAATTATTTGTTTGATTGTCAAATAAAAATAGACGTGTCCAATATTTTTCGATTACCAACATGACGGACTAAAAAATTTTTTTTAGGAAACTTGCCTATTATGGGACGTGTAAAATACGTGTTTTTAAAAGCCTTAGTACTTAAAAAAATGAATGAATGAATTACGAGGTTTGCTTGGTTTTGGACTACATGGCGCGCTGTGTAAAATTTTCAAGTTATTGTTATTTTTTTGGTCAGGTCATATGCACCCGCAGTATGGTAACTGCGCTTGGTCCATACCAGAACTTCCATGTTAACAAATAATACTTGCAACAGGAATGCATGCACCGCGGCAACCTACACCGGACGACGGCGTCGACGCAGATGAACGACGTGTCGTCTCGCTCGCACGCCATATTCACCATCACCTTCGTGCAGGCGAGCTACCTGCGCCACAACAACATGCCCAGCGAGACCGTGTCCAAAGTGCACCTCGTGGACTTGGCCGGCAGGTCAGTAGAGAGAGCAAGTGGGAATAGTCACTAGGGTTATTCCCATAGGACTATTCCCACCTCGCATTCCCACGGCTGCAACTCCTGTGTAGCCAGTATCTATCAATCCTCTAAAAATTGACACGTATTAATCTCATCTCATGTTGCAATACCCTAGCAGGGTTCATGTTACGGGTCTATGTCTAATAGGTAAGAACCTTTGTATACTAACATGGAGCAGTAATGCAGTAAAGAATTGAACGGGACTATTCCCACCTCTTGTTCCCACCATTGCAACTCCTGTGTATCCAGGACCTACAACTTGACCGCCAATAAAAACCCAACCAGTGGAGGTCAAGTTTGTCCCGGGGGAAAGTTAAATTGTCATCGGACCCGCAACGAAATTAATCAGAAAAATGCAGTAGAGAGAGTAGGCGACGTGTCATCGTGCTTGCACGCTATGAGACAACGGATCAGCTGTGAATAGGTAGTTACTAAGTTTAGGCAGGCGCTGAAAAGGAGCTGGAGTGATAATGTTGGAATAAAAGGAGGATGAGTTGATTCTGACTGAATTATTTTTCGCCTACTTGGAGATAACCGAAAATCTTCTTTCTTTTCCTTAGCCCCTTTTCCCATCGTCTGGGGTCGGCTCTCCTTGTTCTGAGGCGCCAGGATAGTCTGTTCTGGGCTGTCGAAATATTTGTCTGGGCACGCTCTTAGTCCTTGGCGACCGCGGACCGCCACGTGGCCAGGAGCGTCCTCTACCTTTCTTATTGTTTGACAGTGGTCGGTCAGACGGTCTTCGGGTCGTCTCATGACAATGGAGATAACCAAAAATAGCTCAAGTTTAACTTTTAACTTTATTCTTTTGTTCTCAGCGAGCGAGCAGACGCGACCGGGGCGACAGGCCAGCGCTTAGTGGAAGGCGCGCACATCAACAAGTCGCTCGTGACGCTCGGCTCCGTCATCTCCGCGCTCGCCGAGGCCAGCCAGCAGCCGGCTGACAGTAAGCTACTATCGCAGCTGTCAACTGACATTCTCTTGACAGCTCCAATATACAGAAAGAAAGTTAATTTGTCTATTTGGCACCGGTAAAATTAGTACTGCACTAAAATCAAAATGGTCTCTGTTTAGTCCGTGACGTAGGGAGCATACAGCTACTGGTTTTCTACGGATAACACGAGAGGGAAACGTGGCCTACAGCGAACGCACTAACTAATAATAATAACTCAAAATATGTACTCCATAGACAACAAAATCGCCCACCATAGAGCACACCGATTTGTTCGTGTCAGCCAAATGACGTCCACTGCTGGACAAAGGCCTCCCCCAAGAATTTCCATAACAACCGATTTGTGTTCAAGCTTAATAACGTGTCTGTTCAATATTGACAGATCGCACCCCGCGGAGCGCCAAGAAGAACGTATTCATCCCGTACCGAGACTCGGTGCTCACGTGGCTGCTCAAAGATTCGCTCGGCGGGAACTCAAAGACGATCATGATCGCCGCGGTGAGTACTATTGCGCATCGAACATAAAATATGTATAGCTTACTACTGCGCATCAAACATAAAAATAGCTTTTTGTTTTTGATAATGTTTTTTAACCATTCAAGGGCCGTCTTTACCCTACTATCTAGCGCTTTATTCAGTGCCTAAAGTATGGAAGCGGTACTAGAGGGTGTTTTTTGTTACGTTAAATGTCAGCGAGACTTCAGATTCAGATTTGTATGCTCTGTTACGTCATAATATCTCAAAATTACCCCTCCCGTGCCGCTCCCATATTTCAGGCACTGACTGAGTTATGATACCTATGATAGGAGCATTTGGATGACGGGGTCTCTTTTCAAGCAGAAATTATTCGTAAAATTTTTTTTTCACTTCCTCCTAATTCACCAGCGTTTTGAGTAGAAAATTGGCAAGTGTTGAGAAGCGTTTCGACAAAGTCAAAGTCAAATATTGCTAGTACACCGCGATGTAGAAAACTACACAATCTAGCGTAACGCCATCTAGTAACTTAACTCTGAACTAAAACCTACAATCAGATACTTGTACATTGTTCCCGCCAGATATCGCCAGCGGACTGCAACTACGGCGAGACGCTATCGACGCTGCGCTACGCCAACCGCGCCAAGAACATCATCAACAAGCCGACCATCAACGAGGACCCCAACGTCAAGCTCATCCGCGAGCTACGCGAGGAGATCGACAAGCTGCGCGCTCAGATCTCACACAACACCGTGAGTTACTCTTACTTGTTACGACCGGTACCTCTAAAGTCTGGTCGCCAGCGGACTGCAACTACGGCGAGACGTTATCGACGCTGCGCTACGCCAACCGCGCCAAGAACATCAAATCAAATCAAATTTCTTTATTTGCGTAATTCCAGGTACATAAGTGGTCTTACATAGATTTGGTAGGTTTCACTGAAATTTGCTCAAACTAGGAAGCGTGCAAATATTAAAAAGAGTAGTAAGTAGACTTTATATCGAACATCATTAATCATCATCAACAAGCCGACCATCAACGAGGACCCCAACGTCAAGCTCATCCGCGAGCTACGCGAGATCGACAAGCTGCGCGCGCAGATCTCGCACAACACCGTGAGTAATTTTAAGTACATAATGGATGCAATAAAATATTGAGTATTAACCCTGACTTGTTACGACCGGTACCTCTATTATCTGGGGGCACGGCAGTGCCCCCGCCAAGTCGAGCGCGAAGCAAACACTGCCGTACCATCCTTTACTGGAACCATTTCGCCGCATTTTCAGGCCCCTATTTGAGAACCTCTGGATAATACTAGAACGCAGAAATTTTCGTCATCTAGTAAGCTATGATCACATAGTTAAAATCCAAAATTTCAAGTCTGTAGGTCATTTAGTTCCGAAGTTAAGCGAAAGCAAAGTTTCGCATTTATGACACTCACTCACTGATGATCATCAAAATAGAACTAGTACTTCCCATTAACTCAGAGAGCTGAAATTTGGTACAGAGTTAGGGTTTAATGGCCACATAAAGGGAAAACTATAAAAATTAGGAAAATCGAAGATCTGGAGTAACACCACATTCATAATCAATACTACTAGCGCCACACCGGCACCGTGGTGTTCGCCTGTACCACTCACCGCTAGATGGCGCTAGCACTTTGAGCGTCGATTTTCTGCACCGCGGTGTCCAGATTTTTTT